CCAATAATCAATGTTGGCCATGTAGATAGTGTGTCAAGTTTGATGCAGATCCCTTCTGGGCAGGGTTCAGTGCTATTTTCTTATAGGTGAACTATAAATCCCAGCAACTACAATCCCCAAATGTCAAGGTCTATTTTCCCCAAACTCCACCAGTGTTCACATTTGGACATATTGAGTATTTGTGCCAAGTTTGGTCCAAATCCATTACTATTTGAGTCCACAGTGCTCTCTGTGGACTCTGGATGTAGGTGAACTACAACTCCAAAACTCAAGGTCAATGCCCACCAAACCCTTCCAGTATTTTCTGTTGGTCATGGGAGTTCTGTGTGCCAAGTCTGGTTCAATGCCATCATTGATAGAATTCAGAATGCTCTCTGATTGTAAGTTAACTATAAATCCCAGCAACTACAATTCCCAAATGGAAAAATCAATCCCCCCTCGATTCCACCAGTATTCAAATCTTGTATATTTGTGTCAAATTTGGTCCAGCATATCAGACATTTACATTAAGATATATAACAGTAGCAAAATGACAGTTATGAAGTAGCAATGAAAATAATTTTATGGTTGGGGGTCACCATAACACGAGGAACTGTATTAAGGGGTTGCAGCATTAGGAAGGTTGAGAAACACTGTTGTAAAGGTATTTACACCTGCAAAGCTATAGCCATAAAAATCAAGTCGATTAGGTAGGTCAGACTGGGATCTTTCTTCTGATTTGGTAAATTTTCCATACAACATTTCATTTGGTATAGAAGAGCACTAAATCATGACAGGCGACGCCTGAATCCTCAATTCAAATACACAATGAGAACAAGAATTCTGGGTGTTTCTGCCTATCCATGTCCTTATTAAATAAGGCGAGACGGGGTGAGTCCCGTCTGCAAGCACCAGCTTCCCATGCGGGGACATGATAGAAGCCTCCCACAGGATGGTAGTACATCCCCTGGGCAACGTCTCTGCAGACGGCCAATACTCGCACACCAGAAGCAACTTGCAGTATATTCTCAATTTGATTCTGACATAATAAAATAAATAAATAAGGCTATACTATGCCGAGAGAATGAAGATTCACTTTGCAAATTACTTCTAGAAATTTGAACCAGAAACACCATTTTTGAGCCATTTCCTTTAGCAAGACCTGAAAGCAAGATGCCAGCCCACATACATTCTTAAATGAAACACCTCATCACCTTTATCCAAGGCAAAACAATAAAGGTAGCAGAAATAAACCTGGAGCTTTAAGTATGCATGTTCGTCTTGCCAAACATTGACTTCTCTCCCTTTCTCTCTGGCCCCTTCTACACTGCTGTATAAAGTCCAGATTATCTGCACTGATCTGGATTATATGGCAATGTAGACTCATATAATCTAAAGCAGATAATGTGGATTACCAGCTTTGATAATCTGGATTATATGGCAGTGTAAAAGGAGCTTCTCTCTATCAAGCTATCTCTCTCCGTGCCCACACATTCATCCCCATTTCTCTTTACTCATTTTAGACGGGTGATCAGAAATGTGTCTAATTTTGTGTCTACACAAGTCTGTAATGCTTCAGAGACACTGATGGCATGGAATGTAGCCATCAATAAAACAAACCAGAATTTGTCTTGCATTAAAACAGCATGGGAAGAGAAAAATTGTCCTAAATTGATGGAAGAAGTCTGCCTGGAACGCCTACATCAACTATGCCCCAAATTGGTGCCTTGGGCTCTTTCCACACAGCTGTATAAAATTGAACTAGATTATATGGCAGTGTAGACTCAGATAATCCAGTTCAAAGCAGATGTTGTGGATTATCTGCCTTACTATTCTGGATTATATAGTTGTGTGGAAGGGCCCTTGGAGATGAGCTGGTCTCCAGTTCGCATCCTGAACTGCGGAGTGCAAATACTATTTTAATTGAGGAAAATCAAGCCCTGATGGTTTCAGCTCAGACCCCTTCCACACAGCTGTATAAAATCCACATTAAACTGGATTATATGGCAATGTACTCAAGGCTCTTCCACACAGCCATATAACCTAGAATGTCAAGACAGAAAATGCCACAATATCTGCTATGAACGAAGTTATCTGAGTTCTCACTACCTCTGAGGATGCTTGCCATAGATGCAGGCGAAACATCAGGAGAGAATGCCTCTAGACCATGGCCATACAGCCCGAAAAAACTTACAACAACCCACTGAGTTCACACTACCATATATTCCAGTTCAAAGCAGATAATGTGGGATTTTATTCAGCTGTGTGGAAGGGGCTTCAGATAAGCCAGTTCAAAGCAGACACTGTGGATTAACTGACTTGATATTCTGAGTTATAGCTGTGTGGAAGAACCCTCAGGCCCCTTCTATACTGTCCTTACATCCAAGAATATGATTATAGATTATCTGCTTATCCCAGATTATATGGCAGTGAAGACTCATATAATCTGGTTCAAAGCAGATAACCTGGAATCAGATCCTGGGCTATAGAGCAGTATAGAAACAGTCTCGGGGGCCCTTCCACACAGCCATATAACCCAGAATATCAAGGCAGAAAATCCCACAATATCTGCTTTGAACTGGGTTATCTGAGTTCACACTGCCATATATTTGCCCTGAATCCATTCGGAACTGCTCTGATTCCCTTCGGGGAGATAGAGCGGTATACAAATAAAGTTTTACTATTAAATTATGCATTGTTTTATTTATTTATTTACTGTAGTTTTACCCCTCTCTATCTCAACCCTGAAGGTGACTCAGAGTGGCTTCTAGAGACCCTTACACACAGCTGAATAAAATCCTACATTTTCTGCTTTGAACTGGAATATATGGCAGTGTGGACTCAGATAGTCCAGTTCAAAGCAGATATTGTGGGATTTTCTGCCTTGATATTCTGGGTTATATGGCTGTGTGGAGGGGCCCCAAATTGGCAATAATTCAATGCAACTATAAACATAAACATACAAATACAATATGCATTATACAATAAAATCAATATATTCCAGTTCACAGCAGATAATGTGGGATTTTATTCAGCTGTGCAGAAGGGGCTTCAGGACCCTTCCACACAGCCAAATAAACCAGAATATCAAGGCAGAAAATCCCTCAATATCTGCTTTGAATCGGGTTATCTGAGTCCACACTGCCATATATTCCAGTTCAATACAGACAATGTGGGATTTTATTCAGCTATGTGAAAGGGGCCTCGGTCAGTCTCTCAAGAAGTTCTTTAATTAATCGGGACTGAAGTTTCGCAGAAGACACCTCGATTTGGCCTCCATCCCAAAAACCGTGCATACACGCAGAGCTTGCATGCTTCTCTTCAACCTGGTACTAAGCAGCTTGCCAACATCCACAACAATTCATCTGAGATGCTTGTTGCTAAGGGTAACTTGGCAGAAGAAGCCAGCCTTTCCAATGCTTCCTTACAAGAGGGGGGAATGGCAAGCTCCGCTTTCCAGTTCCTTTCCCAACTTTGAGGACTGCTGGACAGCACCTGGGCTTTCCCATCTCAGGGTGAAAACTGGGGCTGGATCTACACTACTCTGTATCCTAGATTATCAGCTTTGAAGTGTATGAATCTACACTGCCAGAGAATCTGAAGGCTCTTCCACGCAGTCCTATATCCCAGGATATCAGGGCAGAAAATCCCACAATATCGGCTTTGAACTGGGTTATCTGAGGGCTCTTCCACACAACCCTATATCCCAGAATATCAAGGCAGAAAATCCCACAATATCGGTTTTGAACTGGGTTGTCTTAGGGCTCTTCCACACACCCCTATATCCCAGAATATCAGGGCGGAAGACCCCACAATATCTGCTTTGGACTGGGTTATCTGGGGACCCTTCCACACAACCCTATATCCCAGAATAGCAAGGCAGAAAATCCCACAATATCTGCTTTGAACTGGGTTATCTGAAGGGCTCTTCCACACAACCTTATATCCCAGAATAGCAAGGCAGAAAATCCCACAATATCAGCTTTGAACTGGGTTATCTGAAGGCTCTTCCACACAACCCTATATCCCAGAATATCAAGGCAGAAGATCCCACAATATCGGTTTTGAACTGAGTTATCTGAAGGGCTCTTCCACACAACCTTATATCCCAGAATAGCAAGGCAGAAAATCCCACAATATCGGCTTTGAATTGGGTTATCTGAAGGCTCTTCCACACAACCCTATATCCCAGAATATCAAGGCAGAAAATCCCACAATATCAGCTTTGAACTGGGTTATCTGCAGGCTCTTCCACTCAACCCTATATCCCAGAATATCAAGGCAGAAAATCCCACAATATCGGCTTTGAACTGGGTTATCTGAAGGCTCTTCCACATAGCCCGATATCCCGAGAATATCAAGGCAGAAGATCCCACAATATCAGCTTTGGACTGGGTTATCTGAGTCCACACTCAGATAATATGGGGTTTCCAGCCTTTGTATTCTGAGATATAGGGATGTGTAGAAGAGCTCTAAATCCACACTGAGATAATGTGGGATTTCCTGCCTTGGTATTCTGGGATATAGGGCTGTGTGGAAGGGCCCTAAATCCACACTCTGATAACCTGGGATTTCCTGCTTGATATTCCTTGATATTCTGGGATATAGGGCTGTGTGGAAGGGTCCTGGGATCAGATCCTGGGAGTAGTGTAGATACAGCCTGTGCCTCATCCTGACTCACTCCTGGCTCCTTCCCACTCCACCTCCTGTTTTTAGGGGGGAAATAGGCACCCACTCCTCCTTCACTGGTGAAGCACAGGAGGAAGGTGCCTAAGCCTTGGGACAGGTCACTTGTGGCCCAAGTTGGGCAAAATGTGGCTCGGATCTGGAGAAGAGGGTCTGGAGATGCCAAGGGGAGGGAACCGGGCATCTTGCTCATGGAAAGCCCTGAGCATGTGCTCTGGGAAACATTCCTCCTGCCAAACTAGAGCTCCTGGCTCGGAGAAAGCCCACGCCGCCCAGGCAGGCAGGCAGTGCTGGAGGCGTCCTTGAGCCCATGTGGCCGGGGAGCCCCAACTTACATCGTCCCACTTGACGAAGGCGGTGCCCTTCTTGAGGCTGGCGGAGACGCGGACCGGCTGCAGCTGGAGAGCGTGGACCCCTGGCTGTGCCCCTGCCATGGGCGGCAGCACATCGAGCCTCTTCCTCGGGAAGGAAAGCAAGCAAAGAGGCAGATCGGGCGGCGGCACCCGCTCACCAAGGCTCTCCTTCCCCGTCTCAAGGAAGCCAGCCGCTCCCGGGAATGTCCCTCCTGCTGCAAGCGAGCAGCACGCGCCTGGGCTTCACCGCAAGGAGCCAACCATTCCGCGGCACATCCTATATAGGCAGGAAGAGCGAGCGAGCGAGCGAGCGAGCGCGCGAGGAGGGGACCTAGGCGCGCGCAGGCTCACGAGCACATGCGCGCGCCCCCTTTTCTCTCTCTCTCTCTTTCTCTCTCTCTTCGCCACCCGCTGCTCAAGCAAATCCCGCAGCCGCCCTCGTTCGTCTTCCTTCCAACAATTCCCCCCTCCTTTCTCTCTCTCTCTCTCTTTCTTGGTTTGGAGGCAGGAAAGGAGCGCCACCCGCTGGAGAAAGGGGGAAGCAGGCGATGCGGGGCCGGACCCTCAAGCCTCCCTTTCCCTCTCCATACTTTTCCCTCCAAAACTTTTCTCACAGAGAGTCGAAAGTCAAGGGAGAAGGAGGCAAGGGCAGAGAGAGGCTCTCCTGCCACACTTGAGACTGGAACAAATGATGAAATACAACTGGAAATTAATAATAATAATAATAATAATAATAATAATCTTCTATCTATTTAAATAAAAATGTAATGTACGTTTGTGGTATTCACAGAACTCAAAACCCCCTGGACGAATTGACACCAAATTTGGACACGATACACCTAACAACCTAATTTTTATTTGTTGTTTTTTTTGTTGTGTCAGAGCAAACAGTGGATTATATTACATTTCTAACAGAACAAAGCAAACAAACAGACAAATACAAAACTTGTGAGTTTGGTAGTTGGTTAAATGTCCTTTGACCAGTATCTAGCCACTTGGAGTGCTTCTGGTGTTGCTGCAAGAAGGTCCTCCATTGTGCATGTGGCTGGGCTCAGGTTGCATTGCAGCAGGTGGTCTGTGGTTTGCTCCTCTCCACACTCGCATGTCGTGGATTCCACTTTGTAGCCCCATTTCTGAAGGTTGGCTCTGCATCTCGTGGTGCTAGAGCGCAGTCTGTTCAGCGGCCTCCAAGTCGCCCAGTCTTCTGTGTGCCCAGGAGGGAGTCTCTCATTTGGTATCAGCCATTGGTTGAGGTGCTGGGCTTGAGCCTGCCAGTTTTGGACTCTCGCTTGCTGAGGTGTTCCAGCGAGTGTCTCTGTAGATCTTAGAAAACTATGTCTGGATTTAAGTCATTGACGTGCTGGCTGATACCCAAACGGGGTGGGCCAGAGATGTCTCTGCCTTGGTCCTTTCACTTTTGGCTGCAACTTCCCGGCAGATGTCAGGTGGTGCACAGAAAACTGGGCGACTTGGAAGGCGCTGAACAGGCTGCGCTGTGGCACCATGAGATGCGGAGTCAACCTTAAGAAATGGTGCTACAAAGTGGAATCCACAACATGCGAGTGTGGAGAAGAGCAAACCACAGACCATCTACTGCAATGCAACCTGAGCCCTGCCACATGCACAATGGAGGACCTTCTTATAGTAACACCAGAAGCACTCCAAGTGGCCAGCAATTGGTCAAAGGACATTTAATCAATTACCAAGCTTGGAAACTTTGTGTTTTGTTTGTTTGTTTGTTAAAAATTCAATATAACTGTTTGGTTTGCTCCTGATATGATAAATAAATAAATACCAGAGGTATGGAGCCCTGATTTGGAATTTCAGCAGAAAGAAACAATGCCGGTAACATCAGAGGAAGAGGCAATCTAAAGATTAATATATTTGATGTGGCACTAATGGACAGAGGTGACAAATAGCCTCACTTGCCCCTACATGTCTTAAGCTGAAGTGCCGACCTGCCCAAGGCCCCAGGTGGCTATTTGTACTGTGTCTATTCTATTCTGCCAAACTTTGGCTTGTGCAGCTTTTCTTAAGGGAGGTACTGTTCATGTGTGTGTCTCCTGCCTTTTTTGGTTTTCTTTCAAGTCATTGCCTTGGATCTTGACCTCTCTCTGGCTCAACCCTCACCTGCTTTGGACCACACAGCATTTTCCAGTGCTTACAGAACCCTAACTAAAATTGCACAGTGAAAATAATATGTTTTCTTTCAAACGTAAGTGTCAAATGACTCTGGATCCCAATAAGGAACCCTATACCAATTACCTTTTTAAAAAGGCAGCAGTATATCCTGATCACAGATCTTTGAATAAAAAACAGTTGGCAGTCAAGTGCAGAAACTCCAAAGAAGGCTAATGGGATTTCTCATGTTTTGTTCTAAAACTATAAGACTTTTTTTGCTACAGATTTTCATCTATCTATTTCTATCTATCTATCTATCTATCTATCTATCTATCTATCTATCTATCTATCTCAGGTATTCCTCCAGGTCACCAACTGTGTAATACTGTATCATTGCTACTAGCAACCCAAATATTATTAGTATATAAGATTAATTATGCAATAAACATTTGTTTTCTGTGGTTTGACTATTGCTACTTATGTTGATCTTTAACTCTGCATATTTAGTTGTTGCTGTTGTTGTTTTTTAAAGGAGTCCAAAGGGTTAGTTCAATATCAATATCCTGCTCTTTCTCCCTTCTCTCCAGTTTCCCAGGTTTGCCAGGCAGCTGGAAAGAGGCAACATAAACTCAACCACACAACAATTTGCATTGAGATATCTATGTTCCTCAGTGGCAACCACATCCTTCAACTTTTTTCAGCACATCAGCAACAGGCAACTTCTGCTACTCCAGAAATCATTGAGCTGCAACTCCCTCACCACAAGTTGCAGACCCTCAGTCTAAGGCTGGATATAAGCTTTCGTATAACACAGTGTCAGAATGCAGTTTAACTGCATTGAATGATATGGCAATGTACACTCATATAATCAATTCAATGCTGTTGAACTACATTCTGTAACTGCATTATTTGGCAGTATATATCTAGCTTGAGAACATATGGAACAGCTCCATCGTGTCTTGTCCACCAACTACTGAAAGTCCCTGTTGAATTGCAGCCTGATGCTAATGGGTTCACTAATCCTTTGGAGATGATTGTGGGATTTCCTGTGGCACAAAGTGATGAAGATTCAAGTCAAAGAAATGATAGTTCTCTCTGTGTGAAACCTAACTAGTAGGCTTGGTTGATCAAGAAAAAAAATGGTTCTAAACTCGTTTTGTATATAGAGGGCGCTGGCGTTAAAATTTTAAAATTATTTCTCAAATTTCCTTGAAAAAAAGATTGGAAATAACAAAAATCTGAATAGCTTCGTTTACTTCGTTAATGGAAGGTGCCCCTGTTAGTTTAAAATCTTGCAGTTTCCCTGGCCTCCCTGGTGACAAGCGGAGATGCGTTTTCCCCCAGTGGCCGTCAAGAAGAGCTGGGCATAGCCATGCCCACCTCATTCCCCTCAAAAAGAAAAATGGGTTCCCCTGAAACTGTGGAGACCAAAATCCACTGATAGTGGTGATATGATTTTGGTCTCCACACCTCATTCCCCTGCCATCCATCGCCGTTCGCAGTCACCCAGGGTAGGGAAACTGCAAGATTTTAAAAGTAATCTTGCAGTTTCCCTTCCCTGGGCAACTGCGAAAGGGCGATGGATGGCAGAGGGAGGAGGTGGGCATGGCTAAGAACAGCTGTTCCTGAAGGCCACGCCCCGGCGATGCAAATAGGGATGAGGTGGGAGCGCTGTTACTTTCCCACCAAAGCAGTACCTATTGATCTACTCACATGTGCATGTTTTCAAATTGCTAGGTTGACAGAAGCTGGGGCTAACAACGAGAGCTCACCCCATCCCGCAGATTCGAACCACCAACCTTTTGGTCAGCAAACTCTGCAGCTCAGCAGTTTAGCCTGCTGCGCCACCCCAGCCCCCAGAAAAAGTGTATACAAGTATAATTATTTCCATCGCTGCCAAATGGTAGAACCGGTTGTTGCCAGTTATTTAGGCTTCAAGCTTTTGTTCAAAGTAGCACCATATGCTTTAATCAGAATGAAAATCAATGCCACCCTTTTTAGACAACATTTCATCCATTTTCTTTAAGCTCAGCAACATACCACCATGCATTTTATATCCCTGTATGAAGAGAAGCCTGCTTTCCTAACACTGTTTTTTTTCCTTTCCTAATCAATAGCTGTAACATCAATACAAGTGCATGTTACTCGTATTACAGTCTGTAATTGTTGCTAAAATCATTGCTGCGATTCTTAATCCAATACGCCTCTCAAAGCCCAAGCTAAATCATTTTTGAAAGAAGATGTTTGGGGGATAAAACGAGACACAAATACAATTTGAAGTTAGCGTTATATTGCTTATGAGATTAGTTACAAACAAGATATGGGGCAATTGACAAGGAACAGGAGATGTTCAGAAATGACTTAAGGCACTATAGGCTGTGTCCTCAGCAATAATTTTTCTTGCTCTGGCCTGAAAATTAATTTCTAGTCAATGTTAAGCTGGCAGTGTTTCTTTAAGTGTTGAGAGCATTTCTAATGGAAACAACAGCTATTCCAGAAAGTTCCATATCAGTCACTTCCTTTTCATATTTCCATATAGTCATTTCATTTTCAAATACCTACACTACTACCTATTTGTTCTACTGCTATTTTTCAAATCCAATAATTGATACCTACACCTGCAATTCACCAATATCTATCAATATTTGGTCTATGTTAGCATATAATAAACTGTATTTCCAGTAAAAGTATTAATCATCATTAATATAAAATCCATATTTTATATTCATTACTGTATTAATTACACCTTCAACAGGTATTATTATCAGACTATCACATTATTATCATTTTTTCAATTGTTAAACATATACAAGAAAGGTGTTTTAAAAGAATTCACTATTTAACTAATCATTGCAGTAATAACTACCCTGATCATCCATAAGTCATATCCCTTGGGTCCCTTCTACACTGCTATATAAAATCCAGATTATTAGCTTTTGAAGTGGATTATATGGCAGTGTGGACACGTATAATCCAGTTCAAAGCAGATAATGTGGATTTTATATGGCAGTGTAGATGGAGCCTAAAACATCATTCTGCAGCAGCCAACTAAGAACTATAATCCTCTGTGTGTATATATTTATATGTGAATTTGTGTGTGCATTTGTGACAGCCTCCATGTCTTTTTTAAAATCATTCTTACCTTTGACTTTACACTAGTTTCAAGCCTGTGATATTTGGCCCTTTAAAAGTTACTAAACTCTTAATAATCAAGGTTTTAAAATGTAAACAGTAAAACCCTTTGGATTAGTGTATGAAAATAAATGTGTGCCTGTCCAGAAAAGCAGCTAAAATAAAATCAATCATGACTTCCCTGGAACTCCCAGAACATTTTT